AAGATTTCTTTTTTTATACCTTGTTGCATTCAAAGAAGACAATGGGACCTATTACCTTCAAACATATATATATATATATATATATATATATATATATTTATACACACACACACACATACATATATCTATACGATGAAAAAGTTTTCATTGGGACCTTAGATATGTTCATTAGATTGATATTATCATCATTTAAAATGCTAGTTTTATGATGATGTGGTTTGAATTTAGATTGTAATAATTAATAACGTATAAGTATACTCTCTCACATGATTGTATAATCGTGTCTTTTATTAAAGTCAATTTTCAAATTATTTTTAGAAAAAATTTATAAAAAAAAATGTCATAGTTAAATGTTTTTATGAAATAGTGTATTTCTTTATTTTTTAAAAAAAATTGAGGGTTCAAATAGATGACAAAAAAAAATTCTAAAAATTAAAAACTTTTAAGGAATAAGAAAGAATATCATTATACGAAAAACTAAAAAGGCAAAGTTAACATTGAGATTATACAATAAAAAGAGATTATATTCATGAGATCGTATGTATATATACTACATATACAAGTGCAAGCACATGCAAAGAGTTTATTACAACTCGGTATTAGGTGGTTTACCCAATAAGCCAATTACACGTACATGAAATATATATATATATGTATGTGTATGTATATATACATGCATTATATGAAGTCGCAGTAGATAGATATTGGAGGCTAAAACAGATGAAAATTGCATATGATTCCACATCACGTGGCATCTCTTTTTCTACTATATTCTGGGGGACAACCACCATCAAATTAATCTAATTCATCGAGATTATTAATATTTATATTTATCACCAAAAAAATTAAAATTCATAAAAAGAAATATTTATGCATAAACTAAACAAAAAATGAAAACTTTCTATTAACTAAAATTTTAATTATTTGATACAACATCATAATTCATAATTATCGCTTTTTAAAAAATTTAATTTCACCACAAATAAACAAAAATGGGTTATCGTGAATTATTTTAAGATCGAAGGGTAAAATGGTAATTACAAGAGATCCCGAGAGGAGAGGGAAGGAGAAGGAAAAGGGTAAATTTGGAAAGAAATGATTTTTTGTTTGTTTTTTTTTTTGGAAAGTCTTTTAGGAATGAGGGGTGCCATGTGAGCAGGAGCTTGCAGTGAAGCTGAAGGAAAATGATAGTGGTTGTTGTCTTTGCAGTTAACCTCCTCCTTTCTTCTACTTCTATTCTTCTCCTCAAGCTGCTATTTCCCTCAACTACCCTTCCCCAACATACACAACAAACTTACGCACTCTCTCCTCACAACACAACAACACACATTGTCTGAACAAAACTCCATCACTTCCATTCATAGCTGATAGCTGTTTCTCTTTCTCTGTCCTGAATTTTTTTTTTCAGATTTTCCAGACAATGAGAACGGTTTTGTCTAGATAAGAAAAAAAAAGAAATTGATCTTTCACTCACGCGTACACAGAAACACAACATAGAGATTCTGTTTTCTTCTCTCTTTCTCTCTCTCTCTGAGTTTCTGGAATTCTGGATTTTTCTCTCTCTGTCTGTGTGTTTTGTTGTCTTCTTTAGCTGCTTCCTATGGAAGCTGCGGCGGAGGATTGTTGTGTAAAAGTTGCTGTTCATATCAGACCGCTTATTGGCGATGAGCGGCTCCAAGGTTGTAAAGATTGCGTCACTGTTGTGCCGGGGAAGCCTCAGGTACAGTCTGCATTCGAAAAATATCGAGGTTTTTTTTTTTTTTTTTTTTTCCCGTAATTTAATATGAGAGGACGGAACATTTTTGTTCTGTGGATGACTATGGTGTTTTCGGTAGTAGTTATGGAGTTATGGAGATCTGGATCTCGAGGTGGTCGTGGATGAATGGTGGTTGACCATTTTGTGTTTTTGTATGAGAAATTTGTAGAGTCCTGCCTGTTTGACTGGCAAGACCGTGTTCGGAAGAATCGGGTTTTGGATCAGAATTACGGCAGTTTCTTTTTTTTTTTTTTTTGCTTTTGCTATTTCGTAATCTGTTTTTTTTTTGCATAATTGGATTATCAAAATGAAAGAAAGAAAATCTTCTTCGAATTTTAGTTCTTTTTTTTTTGTTTGTTTTCTGGGAAATGGTTCGAGAATCAGGTGGTTTGGCCAGAACTTTTACTCAAAATTCTTCGGTTGATGTCATGTAATGGCTTCTCCTTATCATTAAAGTCATCTAGAGGGTCGCTTGGTTGCTTCATCATTTGTGCTTTACATGCTTTCAGATATATATATATATATATATATATATATATGTATACACACGTACAGAGAGAAATTGGTTTTATTTTATCTCAAACATTAAGTAATTGGCAAATGCTACCATTTTTTTTATGTATCTGCATCAAAACTTGTCTTCTTGTTTATTATTCCAGTCTTCTTTTGAGTAGTTTCAGATTTCGGGTTGAAAATATGTAAAATATTTCCATGTGTTTGGTAGCAACAGTGTAGATGGCCCATTTCTAGATTTACCCAATGAGTTTCAATGTTGATCAGATGCAAATTCTGAAAAGTGATTCTTTGTCCTAAGGTGAAAATTATTTACTCTGTTAACTGTGATGTTAACCAGTTTAACTTTTGTTACTTCTTGCACACCAGCAATGTATACACATGGCTGAGATACAGCCTTTATAAACACATGATCAATGTCCAGTATCCGTTGCAAATTCTTTTGCATACTCATGTAGTGACTTACTGTTTCGGACAATTCTCCAGGTGCAAATTGGAACACATTCCTTTACTTTTGATCATGTATATGGCAACACGGGTTCTCCCTCTTCTGCCATGTACGAAGAATGTATTGCTTCACTCGTTGACGGTTTGTTCCAAGGATATAATGCTACCGTTCTTGCTTATGGTCAGGTAAAGCTTTCTGTCTCGTGAGAAGTTTGTGGTTTGTGGTTTGTGGATTCATTTTTCTCGTAGTTAACATTTTAATCTAATACAGACAGGATCTGGGAAAACATATACGATGGGTACTGGCTTCAAAGATGGCTGCCAAACAGGAGTAATTCCTCAAGTTATGAATTCTTTGTTCAGCAAGATTGAAACATTAAAGCATCAAACTGAATTTCAGATGCACGTTTCCTTCATTGAGGTTTGTTGACGTCATCTTGTATAATTTTTTAGAGCTTTTTGTCATTCCATGGAGCTCTCTCTCTCTCTTTCTCTCTGTGTAATATATGTATTGTGGGTTATAAGCATATGTTTAAAGAAGATGGCTTACAATTTTGTGTAAAAGATTCTAAAAGAAGAAGTCCGAGATTTGCTGGATCCTACTGCAATTAACAAATCAGACACTGCTAATGGGCATAATGGGAAGGTAACTATCCCAGGAAAACCGCCAATACAAATTCGTGAATCATCAAATGGTGTTATTACGCTGGCAGGATCTACTGAAGTTAGTGTTAGTACACTAAAAGAAATGGCTTCTTGTCTAGAGCAAGGATCACTAAAGCCGGGCTACAGGGAGTACGAACATGAACAATCAGTCTAGGTGAGTGTCACAAATTTGCTGCTATCTACTAACATTTATCCAGAATTGCCATTAATAGGGGTTAAATATGTCAATACCAAATGTTACTTATATAGAAGTATAGTTTAAGAGAATATCTAATGTAATTTTCATCATATCCTACTTAGAGATTTGAGTTCAACATTCCTATTTATTTTCATATAGTGGAAATAAATGACACTTATTATTCTCTGGTTTGTGTTCATGTAGTCGTTCACATGCTATCTTCACCATCACGTTAGAGCAAATGCGTAAGCTCAATGCAGTTTCCCTTGGAGACAGCCCTCCTAGTGAGAGTATGAATGAGGAATATCTATGTGCCAAGTTACATTTAGTAGATCTTGCGGGATCAGAGAGAGCCAAAAGAACAGGTTCTGATGGGTTACGTTTTAAGGAAGGTTGGTGATATTGTTTGTGATTTCACATCTTTGATACTCTAATCTCATATTGGAAAGGTATATGATTCATCAGACATGATAAATTAGTTCTATCTTTTACACAGGGGTTCACATCAATAAAGGCCTTCTTGCACTGGGTAATGTTATCAGTGCACTTGGTGATGAGAAAAAGCGCAAAGAAGGGGTTCATGTTCCCTATCGGGACAGTAAACTCACACGGCTTTTGCAGGTATCACTTATCTACCGATTGAACAACTAATCTTTGCTTATCGCAATACAATAAAACGGGATATGTTCTCGTCAACCCAGCGAAATATTTGACGAAATATTCTTGTCATTTTAAATATTGTTCACGTCAAGTGCTTTCATTTCTTAAGTTCCTTTTCTTCGGTTTAGATATCATGCTTATGTTGAAGTTTGTTAATAACTAGGATTCACTTGGGGGTAACAGCAGAACGGTTATGATAGGTAAGTTATAATTTTATTCAGTAATTCAATTTGATTGTTTTTAGAAACGTGATCAATGAAATTATTTTCTATATACACCACTCTAATTTTATTTCATTAACAAGTCTTTTTTTTTTTTCCTTTTAACTCCTTTCTAGCATGCATTAGTCCTGCTGATATCAATGCTGAGGAAACCCTTAACACTCTAAAATATGCCAATCGTGCTCGGAATATCCAAAACAAGCCTGTTGTATGTTCTTAAAAATTATTCTCTTCCATCTCTTTTCCTTTCTAGCTTTCTCATTCCTGTGGTGAAAGATAAACTGCTTTCCTTGATAATATAATGTTCAGATGTTCTGTTTTATTATGGAATAGGTCAATAGAGATCCTATGTCCAGTGAGATGCTGAAGATGCGCCAACAACTGGAGTATTTGCAAGCAGAACTTTGTGCCCGTGGGGGAGGATCCTCATCTGATGAAGTACAGGTATCTAAGTATTTTAAAATTATGTTTGTTGCATAGACTGAAGTGTTTGAATTGTTAAGGACAAATTTTCTTGGATAAAGTTGTGTAAATTAAATGGTTAAATTTGCCATGAAGGTCCTTAAGGAAAGGATTGCTTGGCTTGAAGCTGCCAATGAGGATCTCTGCCGGGAACTTCATGAGTACCGTAGCAGATGCTCCGTCGTAGAGCAACGTGAAACAGATGCTCAAGTGAGTCACAGACACTTCTGATAAATTTTTCTTGTCGAACATTTGTATTTTTACCGTGTGAAGTTTTACAAGTAATAACTGCCATAAATACAGGTTTATAATGTAATGAAATATGAAAATTTGTTCTTCAGGATGGCATTAATTGTTCTATCAGAAGTGATGGACTTAAAAGGAGCTTGCATAGTATAGAGTCACCTGATTATCCTATGGGTGAAACCATGATAGGTAACACTTTCTTCATCTTGTACTTGCTATGGTAATAGTAAACCTTTTCCTTAATAGGAACCGCAACTCTGACTACAACTAGGTATATGGAACATTTCCTTCTAGTATCACGCCTTTCATTAAAATTTAGGTTTTCCTTAAGTTGGAAAATGTTCTTTGGACTGGAAGTTTCCACTTGTTAATACTCCTTTCTTTAACGTTCAAATTTTTCTTCAGTTGGAATATGTTATTTAGGCAGTAAGTTCCCACTTGAGCAGGTGATTCACGGGAAATCGATGAAGAAGTAGCAAAAGAGTGGGAGCACAAACTTCTACAAAATAGTATGGATAAAGAGTTGCATGAATTGAATAGACGTTTAGAAGAGAAAGAGGTACTCTCCTACATGTTTATGGTGCATTTAATTGTGATCTTTTAGAAAATATTTGGAAACCAGTGTCTGTAGTTTATGAAGATAGCTCAGATGCATCTTCTGTGGGCTCCAGCATTCTGCACCTTAATTCATTTCTTTTTCCAAATTTCGAAAATCTTGTCAGTTCATGTGAATTTTTCTTGTAATTATGATCCAAACAGTCAGAGATGAAACTCTTTGGAGGATATGATCCTGTGGCACTCAAGCAACATTTTGGGAAGAAAATCATGGAACTGGAGGATGAAAAAAGAGCTGTCCAGCAAGAGAGGGATCATTTGCTGGCTGAAGTTGAAAATCTTGCTGCTAATTCTGATGGACATACTCAGAAAATGCAAGATATCCATGCCCAAAAATTGAAGGCACTGGAGGCACAGGTGAGATCATGTTTAAACTAAATTCTTCGTTGCCTTTTAATGGACGTAGTAGGAGTCCTTTATTTTGCTTTAACCAAGATCTTGGGTTTGCAATTGTGGAAAACAGATTCTGGACCTTAAGAAGAAGCAAGAGAACCAAGTTCAGCTTTTAAAGCAGAAACAAAAGAGTGATGAAGCAGCAAAGCGACTTCAAGATGAAATTCAATCTATAAAGGCACAAAAGGTTGGTTATCATTGATATCTTGTGCATATAGTTTTATTCAGCTTATTGTTTAATCATATGTGCTGCAAATCTTTCGATTTTTTTATTTTGTTGGGATGAAATTGTAGGTTCAGTTGCAACAAAGGATAAAGCAAGAGGCAGAGCAATTTCGACAGTGGAAAGCCTCTCGAGAGAAAGAACTGTTGCAGGTAATTACTTCTTACCTTTCTTCTCAAAATTTATAATGTGGAAAACATGAGGTTTTTTGTTAATTCTTACCATTTTCTGTCTCTATATCATTGTTTCATGTGCATCACATGAAATAACGCAGCCAATTAAAATGGGTATATCGTGTGAAGAACTTGCATTTTTAAATCAATTCTTCAAATCTAAACAAATATTTCCTCCACTAAAATGCTGTTCTCACTGCTTATTTTGAATTTTATATGGCAGTTCAGTTTGTTGTTTTCTGATTATTGCAGAGAAGGGAAATTCGATTTATTTTGTCTATGCATGTTTTAGATGATAGTCCTATAGATGTTTATGCTTGATTTGAATATGGTTCATATTTATTAACAGTAAACTTATACGCACTATTAATTGAATATAACCAAACAGTTGCGGAAGGAGGGAAGAAGGAACGAGTATGAGAGACACAAGCTACAAGCTTTAAATCAGCGGCAGAAAATGGTGAGAATTTGTCACTTTCTATTATCTTTTATTTAATCTATGCATTTCATTAAGTTTGTTCAGAAAGCAGGACACTAAAGGCTCAAGTACAAAAAGTTTGATACTAGAGACCATTAAAATACCTTTCTTGAGTTCATGATTTGAGGGAAAAAGACATACATTAAACAAAAAGAACATTCAGACAAATTTATGTTACCCTATCAAAATACTTGCTCTCAGGTTCTTCAAAGAAAGACGGAAGAGGCAGCAATGGCAACCAAGAGATTAAAAGAGTTGCTAGAAGCTCGTAAATCTTCTGCCCGTGAGAACTTAGGTAGGTCTATAGATTTCAATTCACTGCTGATGTGAAAAGCCCTTTGTTTAGAGAAAGAAATGTGTTTCTTGATGTCGTAAAATTGAACATTCCCCTACATCATCATGCATCCAGTCAATGATTATGTAGAAAGAAATGTGTTTCTCGAGGGTTACGTATTTATATTATAATCATTTCCCATTTGCACTCCAAGATTCTTATATCATATCATTTTGCAGCTA